GGGGGGCACGGAGAGCGGGGGTGGCGTGGCCGTGAGCTCCCGGGGGACAGGGACGGGGACGCCACTCCACGGGAACCCCGCGGGCCCCCCCAGAGCCCCGCGGAATGCCACGGGACCCCCCCGGATCCCTGCGAACCCCGCCTGACCCCCCTGAATCCCCCCGAACCCCCCTGAAGCCCTGCAGACACCCCCGGACCCACCAAGCAGGAGAGCGTCTGCCCCCGCCGTGCCCTGGCTACGTGCCCGGGGTCCCGGGGGTCCCGAAGCCCCCGGCGTGCCGGGGGTCTCCCGCTCGGGTCTGGGGGGCTCACGCCGTGCCCCCCCACCGCAGGTCCCCCCGTGGCCAGGACGGAGCCGGAGGAGATGGAAGCACCGGGATGCACCGGCTCAGGTGGGGCCTGGGGGATTCTGGGGGGGCTCGGGTGGGGTGCCGGGGTGATGGGGCCACCCCCGAGCCGGGGAGGGACCTGTCTGTGCCTCTTTGTCCCGCAGCGTGGCTGGTGGTCCCCAAGGCGGAGGTGACCCCCGAGGACGGCGCGGATGATCCAGGGGACCCAGAGCTGCACGACTCAGGTGAGCCGGACGTCTCTGGGGACCGTGGGGTCACAGCCACCCTGACCCGGGCCTGGTGGCAGCGCCGCGTCCCTGGGGGACGGTCACCGTGTCCCCAGGGCCAGCGACCGTGCCAGGTCCTTGCAGCGACGGTCGGCACGTCCCCGGTGCCGTTGGCCTCGAGGGTCACCGAGTCCGGTGCCAGCGGCGGCTCCGTGTCCTCAGGTGACAGCTCCCGCGTCGCGGGGCCGTGCCGGACCATGCCAGCGTTGGCACGTCCCCTCCCGTGTCCCCGCAGGGCCGTGGCTGGTGCGGAAGGTGAAGGTGGAGGAGGAGGACGAGGCCGAGGCCTGGGCGGCCGCAGTCGGGGCCGGGGCCCCGCTGGGCGCGCGGCCGCCGCCCGGCGCCTTCCCCCCGGACCCCGCCGGGACGCCGGGGCGCGCCGGCGCCTGCAAGGCGGAGGAGCCGTGCCCGGAGGAGCTGGCATACGGGCTGCTGCCGGCCTGGGAGCCGGGGCCGTGCCCGGACGGGCTCGGGCTCGGCTTGGGGCTCGGCGCGGGCGAGGGGACGAGCCCTGGCGCCGCGGGGCGCGGGCGCTGCCCGCAGCCCGGCCCGCGGCCCTTCTGCTGCCCGCAGTGCGGGAAGGCCTTCGGGAAGAAGGCGCACCTGACGCGGCACCTGCGGGTGCACACGGGCGAGCGGCCCTTCCCCTGCCCGCACTGCGGCCGCCGCTTCCGGCAGCGCATCCACCTGCGCTCCCACCTGCGCACGCACACGGGCGAGCGGCCCTACCCCTGCCCGCGCTGCGCCCGCCGCTTCCGCAAGAAAACCCACCTGGACCGGCACCTGCGCACGCACACCGGCGAGCGCCCGCACCCCTGCCCGCGCTGCGCCCGCCGCTTCGCCCACCGCCAGCACCTCCTGCGGCACCTGCGCCTGCACGGGGACCCCGCGCCCGCCCACGGACTCCGCGCCGGGGACGGGCGCGGGGCCGGCCCCGCCGAGGAGCGGCCGCCGCCCTGCCCGGCCTGCGAGATCGGCCTCGCCTGGAAGCAGAGCCCGGCGTCGCCGCCGGGGCCGCCCGCGGGAGCGGCGCCCGGAGCCGGGAACGGACACGCGGAGGAGCGCCGGGACGCGGGCGGGGAGGGCCCGGCCGAGGAGCTGCTGCTCATCTGCCCCCAGTGCGGCACCAGCCGCGCCTGGAAGCCGAACGCGTCGCCGCACCCCTGGCGGCACCCGGAGAACCGAGCCCTCGGCTGTGCCCGGGACCCCCGGCACCCCCTGCAGCCCCCGCAGGAGCCCCCAGCCCAGGACCCCCAGCACCCCTCGGAGCTACCCACGGCCGAGCCCCCCTTCATGCAGGACCCCCAGCTCCTGTCACAGGTGCCCGGTGCCAACTGCGCCCTCGGCTGCGCCCAGGACCCCCCGCCCCTCCCGCAGCCCCCGCAAGCGCCCGGTGCCCAGGACCACCAGCAGCAGCCACGGGCGCCGGGTGCCAAAAGCGGCCGGGGCTGTGCCCAGGACCCGCAGGATCCCCCGCAGGTGCCGCCTGCCCAGCGCCCCTTCGCCTGCCCCCAGTGCGGGCGCGGCTTCGGGCGCAAGGCGCACCTGGCGCGGCACCTGCTGGTGCACTCGGGCACCCGGCCCCACGCCTGCGCCCGCTGCGGCCGCCGCTTCAGCTCCAAAACCAACCTGGCCCGGCACCAGGCCGTGCACACGGGGCTGCGGCCCCACCGCTGCCCCCGCTGCGGCCGCGGCTTCACCCGCAAAACTCACCTGGAGCGCCACGAGCGCACCCACGGCACCGGCGCCGGGATGGGCACAGGGACGGGCACGGCCACCACCGGTGCGGGGATGGGCACGGCCACCGCTGCCGGTGGCACCGGCATCGCCGGGGCCCAGCTGAGCTGGCCAGAGCCCCCCACCCTCTGCCCCTGAACGCCCGGAGGTGCCAGGGGCTCCGGTGGGTGCCGATGGTGAATCCTTGGCACTGCGGTGTCAGGATGTGCTCCTGGGAGGTGCCACGGGCACTGATGGCTGCCGGTGGCGAGTCCCGGCGCCGGGATGTGCCGGGGGACCCGGTGGCACATCCTGAGCACTGGGAAGTGCCGGCTTCCCCAGTGGCTGCCAGTGCTGCGTCGCTGGCAGCCTGTGCCGGGCTGTGCCGGGCTGTGCCCGTGCCCGCAGCGGCGCCGGTGGTGACCCCTGAGCCCTGGGATGTGCCGGAAGGTGCCAGGATGCACTGGTGCCACATCCTGAGCACCGGGATGTGCCGGAAGGTGCCAGGATGCGCTGGTGCCACA